TATTATTTACTGTGCCCTGTCCCCAGAGGTGGAGTCTACAGAGACAGGCAGGTTTCCTTGAGCTGCTGTGAGCTCCACCCAGTTCGAGCTTCCCAGCAGCTTTGTTTACCTACTTAAGCCTCAGCAATGGCGGGCGCCCCTCCCCCAGCCTCGCTGCTGCCTTGCTGGTAGATCACAGACTGCTGTGCTAGCAATGAGGGAGGCTCCGTGGGTGTGGGACACTCCCGGCCAGGTGTGGGATATGATCTCCTGGTGTGCCTGTCTGCTTAAAGCGCAGTATTGGGGTGGGAGTTACCCGATTTTCCAGGTGTTGTGTGTCTCAGTTCCCCTGGCTAGGAAAAGGGATTCCCTTCCCCCTTGCGCTTTCCAGGTGAGGCAATGCCTCGCCCTGCTTCAGCTCTCGCTGGTCGGGCTGCAGCAGCTGACCAGCACCGATCGTCTGGCACTCCCCAGTGAGATGAACCCAGTACCTCAGTTGAAAATGCAGAAATCGCCGGTCTTCTGTGTCGCTCGCGCTGGGAGTTGGAGACTGGAGCTGTTCCTATTCGGCCATCTTGCTCCGCCCACACAGTGGTTTTCTAACTGGTTATCAATCTTAGCAAAGGCAGGTAGCCTTTCCATTCTGCTATGGTTTGAATGTGTCCCCCAAAGTTCATGTGTTCGAAACTTAATCCCCAGTGCAACAATGGTGGGAAGTGGGTCCCAATGAGAAGTGATTCCGGTCATTATGAGGGCTCTGCCCTCATAAATGGATTAATGTTGTTATTCTGGCAGTTGGTTAGTTATCATGAGAGTGAGTTGGATACAAAAGCAATTTTTGCCCCTCTTGCCGTCTAGAAATCTATTCCCCTTCCACCATGCACCAGAGGATGACACAGCAAGAAGATCCTTGCAAGGTGTCAGCCTCCTCAACCTTGGACTTCCCAGCCTCCAGAACTGTAAGAAATAAATCTTTGTCCTTTATAAATTACTCAGGTATTTTGTTACAGCAGCATAAAATGGACAAAGATGCATATTATAGTTTAAGACCAAGAGTTCTGAAACATGATACCAATCCTTGCTTTATCCCCTCACTTGTTTCAGCACTCCCTGATTCTGGTGAATATGTCCAGGCTACTTGTTAGCAAGAAATCCTAATTCCACTGCAAAGCAGAATCTCCACTCTTTCCATTCTCAAAGTCTTGGTTCATGTTTTAAGAGGTGGCATAACACTGCAGTCGAGAGCATGTACCATGGAAACAGATCACCCAGGCTCCACTCTCAGGTCCCCACTTATCAGTAGGGTGACCATGGGCAAGTTACTTAAACTCTCTGAACTCCAGTTTTCTCATTATTGGAAGAGGGGTGATGATAATAATAGAAACTTCCTTAGGGTTGTTGTGAGGATTACATGAGTAATGCCTGTAAAGAAATTAAAACTATTCTGCTGAGGATGTGAGGCAGCAAAGCAAGCAAGGCTTTTTAATAGTATACTAAATACCATTATCTTACCCTAAATTTAAAAGCACTCTCTGGATATGTGGTCAGTGACTGAGAGACATTGAGCAATTACCTCCCTAAACCTCTGTCTCTTCATCTATAAAATGGTGCTAATTGAAATAAAAACATGTAATTTACTTGGCAATTACCTAACATGCAGTAAACATTAATATTAGCTCTTATGTCATCTATAAAACTAATCTGTAATTATGTCTGCTTTACTGGGATATTGTAATAAGATAACACAGGTAAAGTACTAGCATAATGATTTAATATTTATTAAGCAAAGGGTTAATATATAGTTTTCTTTTTCTCCACACTTGCCTTTTTTTTCCTTTTGAGACAGGGTCTCACTCTGTCACCCAGGCTACAATACAGTGGCATGATCGCAACTCACTGAAACTTCAACCTCCCAGGCTCAAGCAATCCTCCCACCTCAGCCTCCCAAGTAGCTGGAACCACAGGCATGTGCCTCCACACCTGGCTAATGTGTAAATTTTCTGTAGAGATGGCGTCTCCCTGTATTGCCCAGGCTGGTCTCAAACTCCTGGGCTCAAATGATCCTCCTGCCTTGGCCTCCCATAGTGCTGGGATTACAGGCATAAGCCACCATACCCAGCTTCCACACTTGCCTTTTAAAGCCCCTAGGATTACTGATCATTTTTTCCTGAATTGCTTTTACTTTTCCTTCCTTTGACAGCTATACCTGGAGGTTTGAGCAATGCAGAGAACCTATGATTATATAAACTCTGTCTATTACCAACAACCTCCACAAACCTACCATTGATAAGCGAGTCTTTATTGAATGTGAAGATTTACCAGGGTAATTCTACTTCAAAAAAGGTAGTTGAGTTTCTGGCAATATAGCTGACCAAGTATTAGGACCAATCTTCCCAACTAATGACTAAAAATGCTGGATAAAATATAAAAACATCTTCAAGAAGGCATCCATATGAGAGCAAAAGAGTAAGCAGTACCTAAGAAAGCAACACTGAATCAGCTATATTCTCAGGGCATTTGCTGAACTCAGTGAACTTGAGCATAGATTTTTATGCTCTGGAGACAGAAGGCACAACTCAGGGACCACCCAAGTTGGAGTATCCTATATTAGAATCCTCATAAAACAGGGGCCCAAAGGCATACACTCAACAAAAGAGGGGACTAAAATAACCTATACACTTTCACCCCCACTGAAAATTGCATGGAAAACTAACAGCCTCAAAACTTGGCAGTGTGTAGAGTGGGGGAAAATTATACCCTAAGAATTTGTAACCAAAAGCTGGCCCTCACACAAGTTTGCACAGAAATTCATACTTCTGAAGCAATCTAAAAAAAAAAATTTTAATGTGAAGTCAATATTACGTAAAGGAGTCTTAAGCTAATATATCCCAGGTACCTAACAAAAGCAAACATAAATCCTTGTAGGAAACGGATTTCCCTACAAGGATTGTCCCCTTTCATTCTAGGACACAAAAAATCTTCATGGATAAAATTTCAAGGAAAACTAAACAATTCAAATGTCAAAATTAGTAACACACAGGAGTCAATGTTATAAGAAAGAACCAGCAGGAAAAAAAAAAAAGATAGCAAAATAGGACCCAAAAAATTTTAGATACTTGAATTATCAGATACAGAGTATTAAAAAGTATGGTTAACATGTTTAATATCAGAAACTTTAAAAAGTAGCAATTGAAATTGAGCACTCAGTTGACAGATTTAACAACAGATAAAACACAGCATAATAGAGACAATTAGTCACTAGAAGATAAAAATAATCAAGAATGAAGATCAAGGAGACAAAAGAATTTAAACTTTGAAAGGAACACAGATAAACTGAACTTTATCAAAATTTAAAAACACTTTTTTGTATCAAAGGACATTAGCAAGAAAGGGAACAAGCAACCTACAGAATGGGTGAAATATTTATAAATCATAATTTGATAAGGGCCTGATATCCAGAATATACAAATAACTCCTACAATTTAACAGAAAAAAAAAAAAAAAAAACAACAGCAAAAAGACAAAAAAAATTAAAAACATGCAAAACAGGAGGCTGAGGCTACAATGAGCCATAATGGTGCCACTGTACTCCAGCCTGAGTGACAGAGTGTGAGCCCATCTCAAAAAAAAGGGGGGGGGTGGTGGGGCAAAGGGCTTGAATAGACTTTTCTTCAAACATATACATATGGCCAATAAACATATGAAAAATCACTAACTATATTTCCAAAAACCAACATAAAAAATAAAATGACAATTTGAAAACAGAATAAGCAGATGCACAATATCATTAGTCATCAGGGAAATTCAATCAAAAGAACAGTGTTATGCCACTTCACATCTACTAGAATGGCTACAGTTTTTAAAAACTGAAAATAACAATGCTAATAAGTATGTGGTGAAATTGGAACCTTCATACATTGCTGGTAGAAATGTAAAATGATGCAGCAGCTATAGAAATATTTGACAGAGGCCGGGCACGGTGGCTTAGGCCTGTAATCCCAGCACTTTGGGAGGCCAAGGCGGGCGAATCACCTCAGGTCAGGAGTTCAAGACCAGCCTGACCAACCAGGAGGAACCCTGTCTCTACTAAAAATACAAAATTAGCCGGGCATGGTGGCACATGCCTGTGATCCCAGCTGCTCCAGAGACTGAGGCAGAAGAATGCCTTGAACCCGGGAGGCGGAGGTTGCTATGAGCCGAGATCACGCCATTGCACTCCAGCCTGGGTAACAAGAGTGAAACTCTGTCTCAAAAAAATAAATAAATAAAAAATAAATAAAACAAATATTTGACAGAACATTTTTCCTCAAAAAGCTAAACATAGAATTATCATATGAACCAGCAATTCCACTCCTAGTTATATATGCAAGGGAATTGAAAGCAGGGACTGAAACACATATTTGTAGGGCAATGTTCACTGTAGCATTATTCATAATAGCCAAAAATTGGAAATAATCCATATATATATGCACATATATATATATATGGAGAGAGAGACAATAATAAAAAGAAATGAATTTTTGATATATGCTACAACATGAATCTAAAAACCATTACACTAAGTAAAATAAGCCAGACCCAAAAGGACAAATATTGCATGATTCCACTTAAATGAAATATCTAAAATAGTTGAATTTATAGAGACAGAAAGTAAATTAGAGATTTCCAGGAGCTGGAAGGAGTGGGTAATGGGAAGTTATTGCATAATGGTTTCAGAGTTTTCATCTAAGAAAAAGTTTTGGAAATTGTGGTGACGGTTGTCCAACATTGTGAATGTAATTAATGCCACTGAACTGTACATCTAGAAATAGTTAAAATAAAAAATTGTGTGTTATATATACTTTCACACATAATTTCTAAAAATTAACCATGTAATAGATCAAAAAACATTAAATTGTACACTTTGAGTGAATTGTACGGTATGTGATTTATACATTAACAAATTTTTTAATGGAAAGAAAGCTTGTATTAATTAAGGTAGTAAGCTAGGTTGCAGAAACAGATAAACCCAAAACACAACATTACTCAAACCAAAATAGAAGTTTATTATTCTACTGTCACATAACAGTTCAAGTTGAGCGTTCCTGGTCTGTGAGTACTTCTCTGACTGCAGTGGTTCAGTGACTGCAGCTCCCTCCATCTGAAGATTCAGCCATCCTCTGAGCCTGAGGCCTCCATATTGTCTGTATTCAGCTAACATTAGGGGAAAGAGCATAAAGGAGACACATTACTTCCTAAAAGCCTTGGCCTGAAAATGTTCATGCACATGGCCACAAAAAGATGTAAGGAAGGCTGGAAAATGTAGGCTTTAATGCAGTTACAAGATTATGATATTAGAGTAAAACAGGCTAACATATGTCTAAACAGAGTTCCAAAGCATAAGAAAGGAGTGAGAAGGAAGTGGCAGCAATAGTTGAGGAGATTATGACTAAGAATTTTCCACAACTGATGAGAAACAATAACCCATACATTCAAGATTTCTACAAATCCCAAATAGAAAAAATAAAAAGAAATTCACACCTAAGTACATCATAGTGAAATCACAGAACCTAAAGACAAAGATATACTAAAAGCAGCCAGAGAAAAAAAGATAGATTACCTTAAAGACAGTGAGACTGACAGCTGACTTCACCAATAACAATGTAATCAAGAATGGAGTAGAATAAAATATGCTGAGAAAATAATTATTAAAATAATTACTAACTTATTAATCTACACACAGTAAATTATACTTTTTAAGAAAGAGAACAAATTAAGAAGAAATTTTTATGACAAATAAAAACAGAAAACATCTGCCATTAGCACACCCTCACAAAGATGTTTGCAAAGGAATAAAGAGGAAAAAAAGCAGTAAATACTTTAAAAGTTGACTATATAATACAAAATATTACATGGGGTTAAAAAACACGATAGAATGAAATATATAACAATAATAGCACACAAGGCGTAATTGAATTTAAAGTGTTCTAAGTCTTATATTATTGGGGAGACCATAAAGCAACGAATTAAGTAAGTATGCAGGCTACAAATTTTTAAACCACTGAAATACAGAAACAAAAGTTATAGCTTCCAAACTAGTAGAGGAAAGAAACAGAACATGAAAAAATATAATCAATTCAGAAAAGGACAAGGAAGAAGAAAATAAGTGGTATAGAAAATGTGGAAAAAATATAAAACATAGAAGGCAGTAAAAACAAGTCTAAATATGCCTGCAATTATAATAAATATAAATAGACTAACTGCTTCAGTTGAAATACAAAGTCAAGCTGTGTTTTTTAAAAAAATCTTGCTTTATTCTGTTTATAAGAGACAAGTGTAAAACCTAAGAATATAGGAAGATTGAAGATATTAAAGTAAAAATGTAGAGATGAATGTACAAAGCAAATATGAAACAAAAGAAACCTGCCAGTTCTGGTAGACAAATGCATTTACAGACAAATAAATATTATTGAACACAAAGACAATCATTACCTAATTATTAAAATTTTAATCATCTGGGAGATATGAATTTTGTATTCATATATGTAATTATTCCTAATTACCGTCCCAAAATATGTAAAGTAACACTGACAGAACCACATGGAGAAACGGACATATTGAGAGATTTCAACACAGTTTCAGAAACTGACTACTGAAGCAAGGCATAAATACTAGTAGTTTTATAGAAGATTCAAACAACACAATAAATAAAGGTAGACTAATGGGTATATATGAAACTGTCCTCAATGACTCAACACTGCTTTTTTTTTTTTTTTTTCCATTTTTTTCCTTTTCTTTTTTTTTCTTTTATAGAGTCTCACTCTGTGGCCCAGGCTGGAGTGCAGTGGCACGGTTCAAGTGATTCTCCTGCCTCAGCCTGCCAAGTAGCTGGGATTACAGGCACAGGCCATTATGCCTGGCTAGTTTTTTGTACTTTTGTAGAGACAGAGTTTCACCATGTTGGCCAAGGTGGTCTTGAACTCCCGACCTCAAGTAATCTGCCCGCCTCAGCCTCCCAAAGTGCTAAGATTACAGGCATCAGCTACCACACCTGGCCTTCAATGACTCAAAATAAACATTTTTTTCCAAGCATTCATGGAACATTTTAACCAAATGTTCAACTATAAAGCAGTTTCCAAAACTTAAAATATATATATAATACATTATATATATTATATATTGTAATATAATATATATAAATATATATATAGTATCATACAGATACTGGGTTTCTGAAAAGATAAATAGTATTATATAACTCAAGCTCTCTGATCACAATGAATTTGCAACCCAAAAAAATACAGAATTAGAAATATGCCTATATGTTTGGAAATTTTTAAATATCCTTCTAAATTACTTAAAGATCAAAGAAAATATCATAATGAACATCAGGAAACATTAAGACCCGATAACAAATAAAATATTACATATAAAAACTTACATTATAAGTGAAAGAAAGAAGCTAAAGGAAACTTAGAGGAAAATGTATAGCTTTAAATGCTCAAAGTATAAAATAAGAAAATCTAATAAATAATGAAAACTATATACATTTTAAAAGTTAGTATAGAAAGAGCAGAATAAACCCAAAGAAAAGAGAAGGAAATAATAGAAATAAAAATTAATGGATAGGAAATGAAATATTTAATAGTCAAAAGTTGGTTCTCTGAAAAAGCTAGTAAAATTTACAAACGTCTTACAATAAGAAACAAGAGAGATGACCCAAAAATTAAACCTAAAATAGTATGTATATGAAATGATAACATTACATAAATGTATGACATTAAAAGGGGGCATAAATTCTAATGCTAGAGACATAAGATAATTAGGAGATATATCAGTATTATTCTAATAAACTTGAAAATGTAGCTGAAATGATTCCTGTAAAATACAACTTACTTAAACTGACTCAAGAAGAAAGCAAAAACTGAATGGTCCTATAACTCCTAAAGAAATTTAGTCATTAGTTTAAAATCTTTCCCTAAAGGAGGGATGAGGTCCAGGAGAGTTTATTGATAAACAACCACCATTCAAGAAACAATTTCAGTTTTATGCAAACTGTATCAGATTATGGCAAAAAAAAAAAAAAAAAAAAAGATACTACTCAACGCATTTTCTAAAGCTAGCATAACCTTGATACCAAAATTCAACACTGACGCTCAAAAGGAGGAATTTGCAGACCAATCTTACTCATGAATACGAAAACAAAAATCCCAGATAAAACACTAACAAACTGAATCCCTCAAAGTATTAAAATTACACACACACACACACAAAACGGCCAAATGCTTTTATTCGGAAATAAAAGTGAATTAAAGAAAGAAAAAAATATAACGGACTACATTAACTATTGAAAGAAAATCATATGACTATCTCAACAAATGCATAAAAAGCATTTGATAAAAATCCAACAATCCTTTATAGTAAAAATTTACAGTAAACCATGAATTAAAGTGAACTTCCTTACTCTGATACTAGATATCTACCCAAAAATTTGCAGCAAACATCATATTCAATTTTGAAATTTTGAAAGCACTCCATTTAAATGTCATAAATAAGTTTCTGTACTCTCTATACACTTCAATGCAAAATTATGCTGGATACTCAATACAGTACAAGAAAGTGAGGAAAAAAATAAAAGGGCTAAGGATTCAGAATGAAAGAACAAATCTGTCATTATTCAAAATTGATATGATTTTCCATAAAGATAAATTATTAACATTAAGTTAAATAAATATGCTAATATAAAATCATTATTCAAAAGTGATTTCTAGGTATCCATAATAAGCAGAAAAAATTTAAAAGACATTTATTACAGCATCAAAAATATGATATGCTTAGGAATAAATCTACCAAAGATGTACAAGACTTTAGAGAGAAAAGTACAAAACATTATTGAAGGATATTAAAGAAGACTTTAATTAACTAAGAGATATACAACGTAATAGGTATTTTTCAAGAAGGGACGGGAGCACAGAACCTTAGACCAATGGAGCAGCATAAAAAGTCCAGAAACAACCCCACACATAATTGCCATTTAACATATGACAGAGGTGCTGTTGAAGGTCAGTTGGAAAAAAAATGGATTAAAAGAAAAAATAGTGCTGGAACAATTTGTTTCAATATGAAAAAAAATTAAATTGACTCCTACCTCATACAAAAAACAAAAATCTGTTCCAAGTAAATTAAAGATCTAAATGTGAAAGGCAAGAATGTCAAACTTTTGGAAGATGATATGGTAGAACACCTTTATGATTTCAAACTAGGGTAGCTCTTAAACTGGACATAAAAGATTTAAGTTATAAAGGAAATTATTGACTACATTAAAATCAATGTCTTCTGTTCATCAAAAAGCATTATAAATGGTGAAAAGACAAGCTCAAACTGAGAGATGATTGCTACACACTAACAAAGTATTAAAATACAAAAAATATTTTTAAATGTTTGCAAATCAGTAGGAATGACAAACAACCAAGCAAAAAAATGAGGCATAAATAGTCCATAAACACAAGAAAAGATGTTCAAACTCATGGCAAATCAGGGAAATTATAACCACAAAAGATCATTCGAATATTGCCAGACTTAAGAAGTGTGATGACATTAGTTGTTTACGAGATTGAGAAGCAATGAGAATGCCCATACCCTGCTAGTAAGAATGTAAATTTGTACAGCACTTTTGGAAAACAGCACGATATTACCGAGTAAAATTAAATGTGCATATTCAGGTACTCTATGATTCAATGTTCCCGCTCCTAAGTATATATCCTAGAGAAATCTTGTATATGTGTACCAGGAGACATGTAGAAGAAAGTGTGTAACAGTATTGTTTACAACACAGAAAACTGGAAAAAACCTAAATGCATTCAACAGACTAGATCTGTTGTGGTATATTTTCATAATAAAATACCATCGAGCAATAAAAATTAATGAGCTAAAGCTACAATCATCAGCATGGATGGATCTCAAAAATAAAATGTTAAATTAAAAGAAATAAGTTACAGAAGAATATGTGCAGTATGTTTTTATTTATGTCAAGTTCAGAAACAATCCAAACTAAACAATGCAATTTTTAGGGACATAAATAGGTAGTAATGAGCATTAAAAAAGTTAGGAAGGGATTAACAAAGTTCAGAATCGTGGATACTTTCAGAGAAGGAGAGGGACACATTCACTTCTTGAATATGGTACCTGTAATGTTTTATTTCTCAACCTGGATA